AATAAAGTAGATGCCATTTCCTGCATTCTGGTGTATTTTAACGGGTGAACACTTGATTCAATAACTATTTTAGAGAGCAACAAGGAGTAGCCTGACCAACAGCTCTCCTTGTGTGAATAGAGCAGCTTCGCTTCTCTAAAGCATCCTACACCCACCCACCCCCACACACGTCAAGTATTATCTCCATCACCACTGCCTTCATGTGCTTCAATTCTCGGTTGTTTAATTATACAATGAGAAGACTTAAAAAAAAAAAGTATTTTCAACATTTTGATCGCTGTTATTTTGACAAATTGGCACCATTGTTTTGATACGTGACGTATGTAACGATGATGTAATCAATCAAAAGTTTCTCTCATATTTATAAATAATTTTTAAAAATTAATGACCCACTTAAACTGTAAAACTGATTTTCAATTTAGTTGTGCTGTTTAATTACCATCCATCCATTATCTTTACCCGTTTATTCCATTTTGGGTCACGGGGGTCGCTGGTGCCCATGTCCAGCAATCACTGTGCGAGGGGCGGGGTACACCCTGGACGGGTCGCAAGTCCATCACAGGGCCTGCTTAATTACACTTTTGTGTTTTAATTAACTGGCACATGACTGAACTTTTAGGGGCAGAGATTTTTTTAAGGGTAGAAGTGGAAATTCTTACTTGAAGGGGCAGCTCTGACATGTTAGGAAGCTCGTAAGTGGCTGTTATGTTGAAAATGAGCGTTTATGTAATTATTTTTAGATTACATATCAAATATAGGTTTTATTCTTCCAAGGCAGTAAGCCTGAGAGTTACCAGATCCAAGCAAACAGTTACTGGAACGCACCCTGTCAAAATAAGAGCGTTCCCAGATCCTGTTCCAGATCTGGCTCAAATTAAGCCCTGGTTTTGCCCAATTAAAATAAAACTAAAACACTGAACAATGCAGCTCTTCCACTTTATGCTTTACTTATTCAAAACAAACTTAATTTTTCCTCAATAATTAAAAAAATATATCACACAGTGAATGTTTTACTCATTGTATTAGTTCTAGTATTTACATATTTGCAAAGGAAATGACAGAAAAACTGCTAAAACCGGCCCTTTTTGTTGTGACAAGAATCAATAAAATTCAGTTTTAAGTTAGTTTTGGTCAAAGCTTGAAAGAGCCACTGCAGAGGGACTAAAGACTTGCAGACCCCTGAACTAGACAGTCGATTTAATACATGTGACGCTACAATTATGTTACCTTTGTGCAGGGTGGGTGGAAGATACTCAATGATATGCTCGTCTAGTGACGAGCTGGAAAACACCATCAATGCTTTTGCTTCTGCCTGTGGTTTATCTTCATCCTCATTTTTCCCAGCATCCTGCTCTCCATCAGCAGCCTCCTTTTCCTCTCTGTTGGCCAGCAGGGGTATGACACTTTGAGGCCCGTTGAAGTTAAGCAAACCTGGATTCAAATAAAAAACAAACATGCTTTATTTGATTATCAATCTATGGACAACAATATCTGTAACACGAGGCTGTTTATATGTTGAATAAAATATACAGCTAGCTCATAAAAATCAACACATGCTGACTTTGCAGAAGCGTGTTGACTTATAGGTATGTGTGCATACATTACAACAGGGAGTAACACGTGCCTTATCACAAAGAAAGGCAGCCTATTGATTTGATGACTTCGTAACAGGAAGCACAAGCTCTGATAAGAGTATCAGTGCGATATCCTGTGTACATACTAAAAATTTCCATTCAAAATAAAATTAAATAAAGACATCAATAAGATAAAACTCGCCTGGTAAGTTTTAGAGACAGAGTTGAAGGAAGTTCAAGAAAACTCTTACCGTTTCTCTTTAAAAAGTGCAGAGCATCTTTGTACCCCTGTTTACACATGGCCTTCATAACCTGAAAGCAAACATATACGTTTATCTCTCATGTGTCAATGGAGTCCACTCAGATTATCTGGAGGAGGTTGGGTTTTTTTTCATGTGAGATGGGGGACGACTCCAGCAGACGCCTACCATTGGATCCGGAGGGAAGAGAGCTCTGGAGACTCGGTACAGGTTGGTGAGGGTGAACTGGATGCTTGTGTTGGTGAAGCGCAGCTCGTGGATGTTGGTGGAGGTGTCTCGTGGGCAGATGTCGCTCTCTCCCGAGAACGGGGACACGGTGATGGTGTTTTTCAGCTCGTACTGAGGCAGGTTGTCTGAGATTCCTCCGTCAACGTATCGCTGAGTGGCAAAAAGACACAACAATCAATCAATGACTGCACAAAGTTTCTCGAAGTGGAACCGAGAGACGTTTATCTGCAGAGGAGGTCATAAACAGGATGTGATAATAGGGAGATCATAACCTACGTACTGATAAGGTGTTTTTTTTTTTTTATCAACGATTGTGAAATGTTAAACTTGGAAGGTAGCTGCAGTGTGTAAACAGATAATGACATCAGCTTTGTGAATTTGAGTCACAAGGGGAGCTAAGTAAACTCAAAACCTTCGCCAGCACGATCACATTTGGCTCTGCCACTCGGCCACTTTTGGCCATGAGCCCCACATACACACAAATACAAGTGAGCTCCTAAAACTCATCGCAAAAGTCACAGAGGGAGGGGTGCTGGGCCAGGATATTTCTGAGAAAACCTTTACACTGGAAACATGTTCAGCCAAAGGCAAGAAAAATACACTGCCCCCTTTAGTGTGAGATCTCTGACATAAATACCAACACCGGTAGAATTTTATAACCATTGTTTACACACACGCGCGCGCACATGCACGCATACACATGCCATTCAGAGCAAACACATTCCTGGAAGGGCCGCAGTGGGCACAGTTGCAAAAGAAACGTGCCAAAAGCAATGAAAACGAAACACAAAGAAAGGAAAACTGAGTGTACGCTACAAACAAACAACAGTGCCTTGATTGTGCTGTTTGTAACATAAAATCCATACACATCACTGGGTAAACTGAGCCTCGTTAGCCTGAAAACAGGAGCCTGGCTGCAGAAGAATGGGGGACACATGATCAGTGAAAGTGAATTTACTCACCACTCCTTGAAGTGTGGGAGGAATGAGGCCACAATACACCGGGATGTAGGCGCTGCAGACACATGCCTGATCAACACAAGGAATAACACCACAATAAGAGTTTGACTATGTAATATTTAAACTGCTTCCAAGAACCAAACCATCACAGGTTTGAAGCATGCAAACATCACATATTATCAAAACGAACATCTTCTACATGTTTTGGTCTGTTTATGACTATTGGTTTGACAGTTCTGTAGAAACACGTGGCAAAACACTAACTGCAATCTTTGCTTTGATTGATCCGTGGAGATCACCTTCTGTGTTAAGGCTGGTAATAGTGTATCTGCTTCAGTGCCTCTTTCCTGCGGAGTACCGCAGGGCTCGATTCTTGGACCCCTTCTCTTATCTGCTCCCTTTGGGGTCTATCCTAAGGAAACATTGTCTTTCATTTCATTGTTATGCTGATGATTGTCAGATTTATTTGCCCTTAACACCAAATAGTTCTTGGTCCATTCACCCTCTGTTAAAATGTCTTGATGACATCAAGGCATGGATGGCTTCAAATTTTTTAAGTTTTAATGATTAGAAAATTGAAGTTATTGCGTTTAGCCCTAGCTCCACCACTGTCTCTGTTCCTGTAAATCTTGACTCTCTTCAGCCATATCTTAAGCAGTCTGTTACTAATCTCGGGATGGTTTTAGACTCTGACTTTAAGTTTAATCAACAAATCAACTCTGTTCTGCAAAAAAGCTTCTTCCAGTTAAGGCAGATAGCTAAGCTTAAGTCAGTGTTGTCCAGATCTGACCTTGTAAAATTAGTCCATGCCTTCATTACTACCCGACTGGACTACAGTAACGCACTCTATGCTGGGGTCAGTCAGGTCTCCATTTTACATCTCCAGCTCATCTAGAACGCTGCTGCTCAGCTCTTAATTGGAACTCGTAGGTTCGAGCATATTACACCAGTTTTATCCTCCGATTTAGTATTTTATTGTTCTGCGTTTTTATGTTTCTCTTTGATGTTTTTAATTAATTTTCAGCTCTATCGTTATTTTTTCCCCCATTAAATTACTCCCATTGATTTCTTTGTTAAGCACTTTGGTAACAGCTTCTGGTTCAAATGTGCTCTATAAATAAAGTTGACTTGACTTAAGACCTCTAACTGATGTTTCACGACCTACAGTGGAGTCCCAACACCAACTTTGAAAACCACTACTTTGAAAAATTCATCTGCACTGAAGTTAGATTTTATTTACCGTCGTCCCTCGCCATATGGCAGTTCACTTCGGGGCAGAGATCATGTAAAGATAGGGCAGCCGACTTGTGACCAGTAGGTAGCAGGTTCAACTCCTTGCTATGTCCATATGTCGTGGTGTCATTGAGCAAGTCACCTAATCCCTAACTGCTCCCCGGACACTTACATAGTTGCCCACTGCTCCACCTGGGTGTATCTCAGGTGTGTTGGGTTAAATGCAGAGAACTAATTTCATCATTATATGGAAACATACAGTGATGACAACACAGCACTTTACACTTTTTGCGGTTCACTGTATCGCAGATTTTTTACACCTGCTTTTTATTTTGTGTGTACTGTGCATTCATCTCATCGTCATCATCTTCATCGCCAAAGTGTTTACGAGCATATGAAGTGTTTATAGGAGAGTGGGAAAGGTTTGTAGGAGTGTGGGAAGAGTTTATAAAGCTTTAATATATATATATATATAAATAATAAAATAAATATAATGCTGCTACTTCACAGATTTTCCTATCTGGAACGTAACCCCCGCAATAAGTAAGAGATCACTGTATCTGATAAACTTGTGAAAGAGTTATAGCAGTATTTTTTTATTTAACAATCGCAATGCATTACTTGAAAATGTATTTTTTTAAATAGCCAATTAATTAAAACCTTGAATTGGAAGTATTTTAACAGCATACTACTTGGAAAGAGTTACCGATGAGGCATTCAAATACAGCACTGACAACAATGAAACAAAGAGAAGCAAAAATCCTCACACCAACACTACATTAAACTCATAGTTGAACAATTTGCTCAGTAACCATCTGATATATTGAGTTTTCCTAACAGCTGCAGCTCCAGACTCTCAGGTAACACCTGGAACACAGCTGGAAGCTGAAGACACTCATGATTTAGTTCTAGTGATAAAAGAATGACAGATACAGAAGCGTGTCAGTGTTCTGTTGATACCTGCACCACCTCCTCCTTGCCGTTGAAGAGGGACACCAGAACATTTTCTCCATCTGCCACCCGAGTGAGAGAGATTCCCAGTCGCCCGCTCGCCCGCAGATGGCTATCAGACGGCAGCGTGCGCCGCAGCATGTGGCGCACGATCTTCACCAGGTTAAAGGAAGGATGCATGGGTCCGAGGAATCGCTTCCTTGCCTCCTTGGCAACCTCGATGATGCTCGCACCTACCTCCCCTATAGGAATTAAAAAAACAAAACAATAGTTAATTACTGCATGTGGGTCTATAGTTGATCCGCAAAATTGCTGCCTCTGTTTGTTGCCCAATGAAAACAAGATTTGTACATTTGAAGTAGTTTTGCACAATTTTCACATCTTTTTTGGAATCTATCTATCTGTCTGTCTGTCTGTCTGTCTGTCTGTCTGTGTGAGCGACAAGCATCAATCAGGATTGTGAATAATTAGGTATGTGATGTTTATATGGTATAAATCTTTTTTTTTTCTAACTCTATCTGCATTTTAAAGTGAATACATATAGAAACAATCAAGCAGGTATCTGACTTGGCTTCATAAGAAACTATAATTGCAAAGCAGGAGTCACAGGACAGACTAAAAGTGAAGTTTTTTTGTTTGTTTGTTTTGAACTGAGGTGCCTGAAATTCAAAAACAACTTGGCTGGAACTCCAAAGCAGTCATAAATGTATCTGAATCTCTAATTAGAGTTCGTTTGGAGTACATTTATTAAGTGTACCCCTCAACTATGAATTTTAGCGGGTTTTCTCCCCCTTCAGCTCAGATCTGTGTCTCTGTACCTACCCAGACATACTTCAGTGACCAGAGCAGTGGCGGTCAGAGCCCCAGCTGATGCTCCATAAATGTGCCTGGCGTTGTGGACCAGAAAGGGAGCCTGCTCCTGCAGGCAGCTGGCCACACCGACATGGTAGATCCCCAGGAAGCCGCAGCCTGCGAAGGAGATGTTCCACGGAGAGTCTAACGGGAACATCTTTGGAACCGTCTACAAAAGATGATGCTACAGCCCTCAGTCTAAACAAAAAGAAGCACAAACCACCTTTTACCGTTTACTGTTAGCATTCCCGTTTGGAGTAAAACTCTGTTAGCTAGTTTGTTTTAGCCGGAACAAGTAGACAAGTCTACATTATTCAGAAAAACTACGAATTATGGAGGCTAAACTACACCCCGTTAGTCAATTATCAGCGAAGCACAGCTGGTTAATAAGCACGTAGTAAACTATGGAGACCTGTTGTTGTTTCACGTGCAGCTCCAGCGTATAAAGTGTAGTGGGCGTGTGCTAACCTCGGCTTGTCCAATCAGATTCTAGACAGTGAGGTACATTGACCAATCATAATCGAAGAAGGTGGACAAACCAGCCAATCGTAGAGGACGTCTCATGAGCGGTCCCTGCTTTGTGACAGCAGTCCGCCTTGAGGAATCCGCGTTTTGTTATGGTCTTGCGAAAGTTATGTCCGTGTTTGTGTTCTTACTTTTGTCAGAAAAATGGGTCTCTAGAGACGAAAATGGGCTTTATTTTGGGCTTTATTTTACGAGAAGGTGTATTGATTTCTTGGAATACACATAGTCAGAATGTTGTTTACAACCAGTAGTGGACTTTTTCAACACTGCCATCTGCTGTATGTTACACAAGTTTTACATAAACACTTTGCAAAGTGCAATAATAATAATAAAAAAAAGCTTTTATACTTGTTTTGATAGAAATTTTAAAGAGTTCACATCCACGAAATCTTTGTATTTTTAGCAAGTTTAGCAATGTCACTGCAATGTTCACAGAACTGGACTACAAATAATCCCAGCTGTGAGTTGATAAAAAGTTCTGATTAGGACATTCTTTGGAGTATCCTGTTGTGAAACAAGAAGCAACTACAGTTCATGTTTCTAAAACCGTATACTTCCCTTTTTTAAACAAATATGCCCCAAGAAAAGGTCAAAACGTGTCATTCTACTGTTCAAATTTGTCACTCAATTTATTTTCATCATAACACATATTTATTGTAGTTAAATCAAGCGTCTCTTGTACCTAAACGTAAAGTTTAAAGCGTTCTGCACAACTTTCTTTAAAGCAATATTTTATTTATTTGTTTGCCAGTTTCGATGTATATTTTTCTAAATGTCAGTTACATGGATTCCTGGTGCATGCTCAATAATCCAGGTAGAACATCTAACAAAGTTAAATCAGGTCCTTTGGACGAATTACATTTTTTTATTATTAAAAATATGTTTTTATTTTTATTTTTTCATTTTTAATCATATTTTTTTAATTCGTCCAGATTACCTGACTTAACTTTGTTAGAGCATTATTAAATGCATTTTGAGCATTCCAAAATTAACTTGTGATAAAAATACAATTTGCAGTTTAAAAAAAATGTTTTCTGATTTATTTACACTATAATTTAACTGACTTAACCTCCTTTTGTTATCTACCTGGATGATTGAGCCTATACAAACCTTTTTCTTACACTATAAATTAAAACCAGCAGAATACGACTAAACATCGCCACCTGGTGGTTGAATCGTGAATGGCACGAATTGAACGGTCCCGCCCGGAGTTGAAACTTTGGCGGCGCTGTCATGTAGACGCTTGTTTATTTAAACAAGAACTGCCGAAGAGGCGGGGTCTTCGCTTCTAAACTGGTGCTGGGGATTGGATTTTACTCCCATCGCTAACCGGCACATAATATAAATAAAAACGAGTGCGCAACTGTGACGCGGAACCTTCGCTTTTAAAAAACGTTTTGAGAACAGGAAGTAGCGTTACACCGCAGAGAAAAATGTACCTTGTAACTAATGTTGCTCTTTTTATAATTTCGTACTGCTACGATAGCTTGTTGGTAGCACAAATAACCTAACGAAGGGTTTATAATGTTCATTTCTGGTTGTCTTTTTTAACAGTACTGGTTCATTTGAACTTCTTACTAACGATGCTGTAACGATGCTGTAACGGTCACATTAATCCGTGCTTTTCAAGCCTGCCTTATTACATTACCCACAGGGTTTTACGAGCTGTGCTCATGTCACGAGTGAAGTTACAGACTTGACAAAAGAAACGGTGTTGAATGGAGCAAAACGGTGAAGAAGACGGAGCTGCTGATGAGGAAGGTGCAGACCAGGCAGGTGGAAGCAAGTCAGAAGATGGAGCAGCTGCAGGTAACCCACCGAGGACCACAGCCAAAGCTTCAGACGTTCCCACACGCATGCTGTCTCATAGTGAAACACTTGGGAACCAGGATGGGAACGAATTAAAGGAGGCTAGACTGAGGACTTCACAAGATGTGGCGTTTAAAACCAACGGGGAAGTTGTTGAACCAGAGAGGGACGCTCCCTCAGTGTCTTCTGCTATGGACACATGTGATCCCTCCATATCGAGCATCTCATCTTGTACCCGCTCCTCTAGCCTTCAGCACATTGAGTTGTCCTCGTCCACCTGTGGCTCTGCCTTGTCTCTGTCTCCACCCTTGCCTTCGTCTGTGGAGCTCTCAGCTGTGATGACAGATACCAGGCTGACCCTGGATGTGTACCAGGGAGGAGCAGCTGCCCTGATGTTGTTGTGGGGGTCCATCCCCGAGCAGCTGAGGGGCCTCCAGTACTTGAGACTGGGCTCTGAGGAGAGATCAGGGCTGGACGGTGCTCTGGAGGTCCTACCGCATCTTACAGCGCTGCGTTCACTGGCCATCCGGGGTACAGTACTATCACTTAAACATTAATATTGTTTTAATTGTTTTAATGCTTATTAAATTCTGCATTTTTCTGTAGAGCATAATGTTAATACTGTTAAACTGTAATCTGAGTGTTGTTTATGTTTGGGACTGTATGCTAATTCTACTTTCCCTTCTCGTTAAAGGGCACCGCTTTTATGACTCCCAAGGCGAACCCCTGCCTGGTCTCCTCACCACGTTGCCGATATCTGTGTCCACCCTGTCTCATCTGGTGCACGTGGACCTCTCCTTCAACCAGCTGTCCCACCTCCCCTCCTGCCTGCTCAGACTGCCTGCACTGTCCAAGTTGCTCCTCTCACACAATCGCATCTCATCTTTGCCCCCTGATTTAGGCCAGCTGTCATCCCTAACCTACCTGTCTCTCTCGGTGAACGACCTGGCGTCCCTTCCCCCAAGCGTGTGTCAGCTGAAATCGCTGCAGACTCTTGATGTGTCGCATAACCTCCTCCAGCAACTACCTGATGAAATCGGTTTTCTGGGGGAGCTTGTGAGGTTGGAGTTGTTCCACAACAAGCTGAAGCAGCTGCCAGAGAGCATGGGTAAGAGTTTACCGGTGAGTGAGTGTGTCGGTGAAAGACCCCTGAAAAATAAGCCGGACATTTGATTTGACGTGAGTTAAACTCACGAGTGAAGTCGTTAAAATAATCTAAGCCTTGTTTTCTTGCTGCACAGGCTTTCTCTCCTCGCTCAGGGAACTTGTTATCTACAGCAATGACCTCCGCCTGGTCCCAGGTTGTTTGAATAAACTGCCTCAGCTTAAAATGGACCTTCGGGACAATCCTATTGGAAAACCTCCGACTCCACCTCCTCTTCCTCATGTACCCGGTGAGCAGGGATTAAAAAGGGACTCGAATAGATGATTGCTCAAAAACTTCTTAACTTTAATAATCAAATTCTACGTTTGCATTAGATTTTTGTGTATTTTCTTACTAGATCAAGCAGAGACAAGAATCCCAGAGTTGCACCTGAGATTTAACCAGCACAGGTACAGCCTTGTGGTAAAATGTGGGTTTATGGTAAATTAGCATCAGCAGGTGCTTCGTTACCGGCTCTCATTAAACATCTCGTCCTTCTTTTGCTCTTCAGCTTCTATGTTTCGTCTGCGGGGTGTCATGTGTTTCTCCCAGGGGGGGCTGAGCTGCTGTTCCCCCCGGCGTGCCTGGAGACAACCACGAAACTGAGCTGGGCGGAGAAAAGGCCAGACAGGAAGTGGGTTTCACTAGAGGAACACGAGCTCCTGCTGAGCCGCCCGCTGGAACTGCGTCCCCATGGAAGAACATTTTTAAAGGTATAAAAATATTTTCAGGGCTCAATTCAATTTAAAAGTTATTTACCGCGTTTGGAAAGAGCCCTGAATTTACCATACCATACCAATTTATTTATATAGCACTTAAAACAGCAACAAGGCCAACCAAAGTCTGTACAAAAGAAAACAAACATGCACAGCGGACAGGAAAACATAAAATAGAAATACAGACACAAATAGCAGCAGAAGCTAACTAAAATGGCCAACAGAGTAGAGAACAGACCGGACCAAAACAAATCACACCGTGTTAAAGGCAAGAGAATAGAAGTGGGTCTTCAAGCGAGACTTAAAGACTGAGAGTGTGGGAGCCTGCCGGACACTCAGTGGCAACTCATTCCACAGTCGTGGACCTGCAACAGAGAAAGTACGCAAATGTACGGAGCTCCAAAAGTGCCCGACGATCATACTGAAAATATGACTCGGCACACTGCACAAACCATTGTCAAAATAACAAAAATACAAAACAAGCAGAGAGCGAGAGACGGGCAGCCCTACACACCGGCGCCATCTTGTAAAGGTTATTAGGTAAAGGTTATGAATTTATTATTATTATATCGTCACAGACTTGGGAACAAACTTGAAATGGACAATATTCATGTTGAATGTGATAAAGTCTAGACGTTGATATTTACCTGCAAGGCTGACATTTTAAACTCACTTAAAGCCATGATTGGTGTCAAAATATTATTTTTATATGTTTTTGTTTGGAATTTTAATGCTTCTGCCACAGTTTCTACATCATTAAATGATTGTTTTGGGTTTAATGTAGCTCAAGCTAGGGCTGGATGATATATCGAATATACTCGATGTATCGCAAGATTTTCTATTTACGATGGTTAAAACGGCTTCATCGCAGCCATCGAGGATCATTAGACTTGAAAATCCGTGTAGTTCTTCTTCTCCCGTCTGCGCCTCCAACTTCACACAGCTCCCTCCTCCTTCCTCGCTGAATACAAACGCAGCCCCGCGCATGCTGCTTCACACACGCTTAATAATGTCGTGAAGGCAGCGCAGCTGAAGAGGTTATTATTTAATATATGTAAATAGTGGATTTGTTTTAAACGTTTATTTTGTAGTTACAGCTGCTTGTTAATAAATGTGCCTGTGTGACAATCGGGACAAAGCTTTGACTCGGAAATATATTTTTGTTATTTATGGAAAGAAAAAAAAATCACGATATTAATTTAGCTCCATATCGTCCAGCCCTAACTCAAGCTTGTCAGGGTTTTTGTTAGAAAACAGCAGCTTTGTTTACAACTACATTCTCCTTCTCTTCTCCAAGTCCACAAAACACATGGAGACTGGGCAAACTCCCATGACCCCTCGAGGACCCTAATGAATCATTTCAAATCTTCAAAACATTTCATCAGATTTATTTAAAGCCTGTCACTGTGCGAAGCGTCAAACTTCACTCGTTATGACTCCTGCTTGTTCTGCTTCGTGTTTAGCTGAAACTGTCGTCTCTGCAGATATTAAAGGATTCACTCGGCCTTTACACTTTTTATCATCTTAACCTTCAAAATCTCTTTGCTCCTTTCCTCTGAAGCAACACCCAGTGAACTTTGATATGTTTGGCTCCGTCTGACGTGACATGATTCTGTTAGTGGAAGCTGTTTCTTTGACTAATTCAAATTAAAAATATCTGCGCTCGAGGTCAGCGATCGGTTTGTGTCATGTGCTGAACGATGTGTGTTCTTGTGTCCTCTCTTTATGACAGATGTGCACATACGCCTGAACACTTGAGGTTGTTGTTTTCTTCACATGTTCTGAAAGGGGTTCTTTTCTCAAAGGAAAGCTCCTGCATTCATCTGCTCCTGCCCTCTGTGCACTTTCAGACCTTATTATGTTGCTAATAAATGTTAACCCTAGAACATATTGCAAGTTATGGATTGAATTTGTGCTCTTTTTTAACATTCTCACTATCTACGTGATGGATTTTGACTTGTTTTTTTTGTAGCCACAGAAGCAGATTGCAAAACGCAATGATACGATTTTTTTTTGGGGGGGGGGGGGGACAAAAATACAGACGTTTAACACGTTAAACTGATTGAAAAACAACAGTGTACAGTAATATGTATGATTTTATCTGACAAAGAAACATTATCTTTTTCTTTATTTAATTTTAAACAGTTAAAATATCAACAAAAACATAAATAAAAAGCTAAATATGTCCACCAAAATATTCTGTAAACAAAACAAAACCATTTGAAAAGGGAGAAAGAAGAAGCATTGGCTTATCCAGTCCTGTCCCTAAGTTTACATGCTGATTCTGAATTCAATATACTGTATATATAAATACATAAATACCCATACATGCATGGATACTTGCATAGCTACGTATACCTACACATACATCGATATACTTGCAGATACACATTTACTCTACATCACCTACAGATAAAAGCTTAATATGCAAACACACAGATTAACAAATTAACAGCTGGAATAACATCATTTTGTCTCATTAGTTTTTATACACATCAGTTTTGTATATTTTCTCTTGAATTGTGCAATATTTTACTTTACATAAGCCATTCCTCAAAAATCACTCCACGAACTGAAATGCACGAGTGCTGTGAACACTTTAAATTACATTTTCCTCTCAGTTTGTACTGTATTTGAGTGTAATGTCAGATTATTTTGGTTGATATTTTCTCAGTTCTTGATTTGTCTCATGAGTTCACAGCCTGTGGAGGTGTGTGTGCCATATCGTCAGACAAAAAGAGGGGAGGTGGTGTTGCGGAGGTTTGATGGACAGTCGTCGAGCACTCTGCCTACTAATCTAAGGAGGGGAAGCGACGCCCATAGCTGTCGTCCCGGTGGACGTCCAGCCAGAGTAAGTCTTAAAGCCCCCCCCCCCCCCCCCCCCGAAAAAGCATTTCCCCCTAAAACATTGAAATGTTGGTAGGGACAAAAACAAGTGGTTTTGTTGTGTTTGCAGCTGGCATGCTGCTCCGTGAGCCAGTTCTCCTGGTTCATGGCAGTGTCCCGACCAGTCCAAGACAGTTGTTCTCTCACACCTGCTGGAGCTCTGTTGGTTTCCAGCTCCGACCCTGGAATCAAGCTCCGCTTCCCCCCTGACTCCACCGCGCAGACTCGCACCGTCACTTTACAGGTGGAGTTAAACTGATGGTAACAGAAATAACGTCTCTGTTTGCAAGACTGTGCCCGACTTTGGTCTCTTTGGCTGTAGGTGCTGAAGGTTTCTGAGTCGGAGGTGCAGGCTCTGTGTGGGGATCCTGAGGCCAGAGTCAGTCCCCTCCTCTGTCTCTCCCAGACCTCCAGTCTACACTTCCTGCAGCCAGTCCAAGTTCAGATCCCTCTGCCTCCAGGAGTCACAGGTCCAATAAACCATCCAGATTCTCTTGCAGGTGTACTAGCTACCGTAGTTTTCGCCGTATAAGCCACACCTTTTTGCATATATTAGCATGCCTGCGACTTATAGAGCAGATCGACTTATTTATGTTTTTTCCCATATTTATAACCAATTTTTGTCTGAGATCTGACTATTTCTTTCATTCTGACATGGACAATATTGAACACTACCATTTTCAGCCACAAGAGGGCCCTCGACCTATATGGCAAGCCAAGTGTCTCATTAATAGGTAAAAGTGGCTATTAATGAGACACTTGGCTTGCCATACAAACCACATTTGTCTCACACCGGAAATCCTGGAGCAAATGTCAAATCAGCTGCATTTCACCGCGCCGCCCAGGTGAAATGCAGCTGATTTGACCATTGAAGTGCATTTATTAAGGAAAAGTTCAACTGAGACGCACCTTTACTATAATTTCGAGCAAACAAACAATTGTTTTCAAGTGTCAATCTTGTTAAATTATTGTTCAAGTCCTCCCATGCACAATCCCGCAGCTGCCATTTGGCAGCCAAGCGATTTTTGGCACAACACCGGGCCACATTTCCGGGTGGTCAGCGGTGACGCGTAACAAACTTGACACGTCAGAGGTGACGTATACGGCGAAGCGACGTATTTATTGATTTTCCCACTTTATTAGACATATTTGGACTGATGCAACTTATAGGGCGGTGCGACGTGTACGGCAGCAAGCACAGTAAATATCTTAGCATGTGCTAACGCTTATTGCACGTATGCAGGCTACACAGCTGATGTGACCCGTCTCCATCTGCTCCACGGAGATCCCACCGCCCAGACCTGGACTGACATCACATCACAAGTGTCTCTCTACGTTACACATTTGTATGCTATTTTCTACATTACACACTTCTCCTGGTGAGTCCCTGCACTGTGCTCCCATGTAATGTTTGATTTACTTTACAATTTACTGTTTAATCCTCTAACAGTGGATTGTCTGCACCACGACAGGTACTGGCTCTGGTACACCACGCAGCGCTGTGTTAGCGGGGTGGTCAGGAAGATCTATCAAAAGCTAAAACTGTTCAAAGTCCAGTTCCTCAGTCTCCAGCGGAAGACCGATCCCTCTCAAGTCCTGCTGCAGTGTTTACCTGCTAACAAGGTGTGGGTCCTCCGTTCTTGGACCTTTTTAAGCTTATTTGTCTCCAGAGTGAATGCTTTTATGAGCATAAATGTACATGATAACTGCTACATGTGATGTTTGTACAGGTCGAGGGCAGAGTGCAGTCTTTGTCAGAACAATACGATGGACCGCAGCCTTCAGATCTGTGTGACCTGCTGGAAGGAGAGCAGTTTTTTGCAGGCTTTGAGAGGGGCCTAGACGTCAGCACAGGTTAACACTCAGCTCTGTGGCTGCACCTCTCAGCAGATAAATTGATAAATTCATGCCATGTGCTGCTGAGTAATATTTGTCCTCGTGCAGTCTGTTTTAAGGACACACCTCATGCTGATGTCGTCCTGTTTCCTGCAGACAGACCGGATTGTGTCGGGGGACGACTGTGTTTTGTGTTTTACTCCAGCTTGAAGAATCTGAAGGAAGTGTACATCTGTTCGGCTGAGGGTCAGAAGGGACCTGTGAGGGGACAGGTAAGATGCTTTAAACAGTGAACACAGTGCTGCTTTTGTGCACAGTACTTTCACACAATGTACAGAATAATATATAAACTATGTTACAAGAAAAAATGACTCCACCTGACGGGTTTTTCAACAAACAATATGTAACCAGCTGTGTTTTTTATTCTATTGTGCAGTCTATATTTAACAAATATAAAAATGATCTTAACAAATCACTGGCAATAAACACACATTAAAGTGATATCTGACATTTTAAATCAAATTGTCTCGTTTTATTGCTGTTTCTGCAGTTTTGGTTTAGACAGCTGCTTCTGATCCATATGCCAGACAGTTTTTCTGTTATGGCTTCACTATCGCTCCGTCTCTTTGTATTTGATCTTTTTAGGGGCTGAAGTTAACGCAGTCGTTTCCATGGGATAAGTTTTAGTGATTTAGCTGAGCCACTTATGTATGGGGAAAAATGAGAATTTAAATATTCAGACTTGGCAAAGATCAGCAGGATGTAAGAGAAATTAAATGCAGCACGATTTGAAGGTGGGTGGAGAAGATGATGAAGATTGATAATTCTACTTTGCCTTTTGTTTCTTGGAAATCTGAACTTTTGAAGATACTTTTAGAATGGTTTCCTCCAAACTGCTTTTTATTCATTAGTGAATATAGACATTGAAGTATCTATGTCGTTGCTCTGAAACACTGATTTTTATTGACCACAAAATAAGTACATCTCCTTTTAGCTGCTTCATACAGCAGTAATCACTGTAATTTCTTCAGTTGAAGCAATTCTATTCAGTTTATTTATTTAGCGCCAAATCACAACAGAAGTCGTCTCAGGGCACTGAACAGGAACAGTCACATACAAAAGCTAATTAGTAAAAGTTCTCTATCTAAGGAAGCAGCAGATTGTCTTGATTCTTCACTTCATCACAGTCTCCCATCCTGAACAAGCACAAAGGAGCCAGTGGAAAGAAAAAACTCTTTTAACAGGAAGAAGCTTCCAGCAGAACCAGGCTCAGGATGAGCGGCTTCTTCTGCTTTGAGCGGCTTTTTAGATAAGATGTTTCTAACTTTAGTGATATTACGCAGGTGGAAGATATGCAGGTAGAAGAAGGCAGTTCTAGTAAAGTTTTTAATGTGGGGGATAAAAGACATGCCCTGATCAAAAATAACACCAAGATTTTTAACATTAGAGCTGGAGGACAGATTAATGAGATCTAAGGAGGGAGGAAGACTGAAACATGTATTCCTCAGGTGCTCAGGTCCAAAAACTAAAACCTCAGTCTTGTCTGTGTTCAAAAGCGGAACATTTAGGGTCATCCAGGCTTTTATGTCTTTAAGTCATGCTTGTAGTCTGAGTAACTGATTGGATTCATCGGGTTTCATGGACAAATATAACTGTGTGTCATCAGCATAACAACAAAGCAGAAGCTAAATAACATTTACTCCATCAAGTCTAAAATAGTCTTGTTTACCTTCTACTGTTGTTCATATTCTAAAAAGTGTTTGTCAAAAAGACTTTTTCAAAATGTTAACATTTCACTTTCTAAAACACTGTTCTTGTGTTAGTGAAAACAAAAACTGTTAATGTAAAATATTCTATCAGCTATATGAAAACCAAGTTGTTGTCAGGTGTGTTAAAGTCCACGGGCCTGCAGGATTAAATGTTTTATATTTGAGCAGATCTGAGCTGTCATCATTAATGGATCCAGTCAGAGCGCTGCTTCTGCTTCTCATAATAAATGTGCTGGTCCATTAGCCAGAGTCAGCTGCATTTAGCTTTTAGTCTGATATCTAATCACTAAAACTCATTAGCTCCGTTACTTGCAGCTTGACTAAATTCATTCAACCGTTATTTAAATGGTTGAAAACGCAGAATTATAAAGTGCTTGTCCCATAACTCTGGTGTTTTATCTGAATCTGATAATATCAGGATTCCTGTTGGTCTTCATGTAACTCCTCGTGTTTTTCTTGTACTGATTGGCCTTCAGGCAGAAATGTTGGAGCAACAAATGATGAACTCCAGCATGGTTGTCAACAATCGTTATTAGAAGCTGGAAAGAACACAAGTCATAGAACAGCTCTGAGACTGTCCTCAGACGGGTGTGGATTAAAAAAAAAATCACTCGAGCCATAAATTTCAACAAGTGAAATGAGTCATGAAGCTTACTGCTCAGCTCATCTTTTCTCTTAAACTGTGACTTTTTTATTGTTTGTTCTTTAGCTTGCCGTGTTTTTATATGAAGGATTTACAAAGAGTAAATCTCTAAACCACCACAGTGTGTACATTTCCTTATTTGTGGGTGAATTAGACAAATACTGTTTTCATTATCAAATGGTAATTTCACGTCTGTTTCAGGTGTCTTTTTACAGAGGGGAGATCCCCAGCAGTCTCCCAGAGGAAGTGGTCAGGAAGAGGAAAGGACTGGACAGCCAGTGGCTCGCTACGTTACCATTAAGACTTCCTGTTAGTTAAAATGCTTGTGGTGTTTTTTTTACTTCTTTCCTGCTCTCTACACGTCACGTCATCACCTGAGAGAAACCATCATGTTTGTTTTGTAGGCCCTGGACTCTGAGAACAGTTTTATCCTGGAGGAGTCCCAGCATCCTCCTCTGAACCTGGGAGACCCCGAGAGCGGCTACTTGACGGAGGCCAACCTGCTGTCCATTTCCCTTCAGATCGGACAGGACTGGAGACAGATTGGTGTCAATCTTGGCTTGAGCTACCCAGAGCTGGAACGCATCCAATACAAAAACAAGTAAGAAGGAAAATCACATTCATTATGATCATTTTTGTAACTAGCTCTTTGAGTTCAGTTTAGTATTTCATGTTTTTGAGCCAAAGCTTGCGTGTTGAAAAAGCACGAGTCAGTCACGACATGAAGACCACCTGCCTCGTGTAATTCCTCCTCCCGCTGCTACAGCTGGAGCTGTGCGGACTGAATCCTGGCAGAGGTTCTCTGCTCTTTGGTTCCTGGACACTAGCAGCAGATTGTTTAGTTGTAGAGGGTTTGGGGGTTTGTAAGTGCACATCCTACAGACAGGATGTGGATCTGGGTAATTATGACAGGAAATTAAACAGGAATATACTGAACACATAATCTCTGCGTGACCGAATTATGTAACCAGTGCACAAACAGTACAAACCTCTGTGTGGCAAGAGTCAGTGCAGAACATGCAGCGAGAGAGAAATCAGAGGGTTTTTATTGTTTTAATCTGCGCTCAGCCTTCACTGAGCCATCTGGGACACTGCGGGAGATTACACACTCATCTGGTCCTACCCCCTTCTCCAGCCTCTCATCACGCATCCTGGAGGTGGGGAAAACAAACAAACATGTAAAAATCATTTTTCTGGTACCAGGCTTGTGGGTTATATCACTAACTGGTGTATTTTTTTTTTAATTTCCCCAAATCTTTTAAACATTGATGCTCAAATATCTGCACCATTTCCAACCAGGAGCGACTGTAACCCTGCAGCACAGAATGAGATGTATTCATGGTTAGAGGGGGGTCATTGTCACTTAAACCCAGGCTGCTGCAGCTGAAGGTGATGGGATGGAACATTTTTGATGTGTATTCTGCTCACCAGGGACAACCTGGGTGCCTTGGTGCTGGACATGCTGTTTCACTGGGCCCGGGGACAGAGGAACACGGGGCCCGGGGCCGTGTCGAGGCTCATGGAGGCCATGGTGGAAAGCGGCAGGAGGGACCTGTCGGAGGAGATCGAGGACATTGTGAATTTAGGAAGGAAAAAGTATTCAGATTCCCTGAGGAGAGTCGGCCTGGAGGCGGAGAGCTCCTCCCAGGGGGAGACGCAGCTGTAGGTGAGCTCTCACTGGGACGGCTTATCCTTGAAGAACCTGTTTAGTTTACAGTGAAGCCCCCGTCTGGTTCTCTGAACGACTCCTGGAGCACAGAGCTCTGACAGACATCCACCAAACACACAACTTCAAATACACTTTGATCATTTCTATCCAGCTTTTCTTTCATCATTAAAAACAAACTGTTTTATTGAGCAGAGCAGCTCTAAATAAGATTGTTTCACTAAGGGGAAATATTTTAAATACGATCTGTTGCTGGAGAAATGAGCCACAATGATGAGTTTTAAAACTGAGTTGGTTTTATTTTACATTCTGCATCTCAGAAGGTTCATGATGACACGTAGGTTGCTGAAGTTTGGTGATTTATCACCTGGCCTGGCAACAAGCTCGTTTTGATTAAGAGAGTTTAATTTTTAAAACTAGATTTTTGTTCTTGGTCTGAAGTCATGTCAACAGGATTTGTAACCCTTTTTGAAAAAGGAAACCTCGAGCTCCACAATGATGCCGAACATGAAGCTCTACAGACAAAAATGGTCAATTTCAGAGGAATATTTCTGAAGACGTGCCTGTTAGAACACTTATATTTAATAAACAGATTAAGAAGATTATGTGGTTTTAGTTACTGGAATTGCTAGATAGTCTCTTTATGGTCTCAATTTTATGCAAATTTTTTAACATATAGCAAAATATAATCTATATTTTCACATTTTTCTCCCTGCAGCCTGTGCTCGTTCCAACTCATTTTGCACACACAGGTCACAAATGCACCTATTAACTAATAATATTAACTCCTACATGAGATAGTATCAGTAAGTGATAGGTAAAAACGTGCCATCAGTTTAATTATAGAGTAAAGAGCTGTTTGCAGGGAACTAATACCTGAGAACTTCAGTATTTATGGTCTTGGTGTTTTTTATGTTTATTATTGTAAATGTTAATTTTTAAATACAACAAACTAAATGTGGTCATCTGTAAACTCCCATGTAATTGTTAATAGGTGTTTTGTTTCAAAATAAAACATGGGCCTGTTTAAATCCATCAGAAGCTGTAAACCTCCATGGAGGATGAGAAAAATGACAAATGGGCCATAATTTTTTAAATTTATTTAAACTAGGCTTGGTAGCTACATGATAAAAGTAAATCTAAATAAACTAACTTTTTTTTTTTTTGCTAAGAAACTTAAAAAAAATAAGTGAGTTAAAAGTAATTTTTAAACCTCAAATATCTCAAGTAATATTTTACTGCGACTTTAGTAAATCTTTTTTTTTTTTCATTTTAGTTGTTTTTTAAATTGTGTTATAACTTTAGACAGAAAGTTTTGCACCGTATTTGTTTTTAAAGTAATTTGGGGGGTCTTTTTTTTTTATAAATATGCTGCTGCACAACCAGCAACTTATTAAAAAGTATGTTTTAACCGAGTTAAACATATTGACAGTAAAATAACAGCAGAACTGGGCAACAGATAAAGTGTGAAGTCCAGGTTTATTTGAGCTTTTATTAATCAGAATACAACAACACAAAGGTTTTACTCATTTATTAACCAGGTGAGCAGATGATAGTTCTTTATCTAGAGGCAGTTCATGCAAACATTTAGTCTCAGAGTTCTATCACTTTTAAACATTTTACTTTATAATGTCAAATATTTTAGAAATGTGTCTGTGTTAACTTTGCACCTTGTCATTTTTACTCATGTTGTTGTTTTTAAAACACTGTAATTTCCTTTTTTTTTTTAATGCTTGCCTTTAAAAAAGTGATTATTTGAACTGGAAGCCTGCTTGTTTACGTGGTGTAAAACTTTAAAGGTACTCCCTGCAAATGATGAAATCAAGCATACAGAGGTTATCATGAACTCTGTCAAATGGTGCAGTTTGAAAGAGTTTACTCCTGTAGTTTTAGATATATCAGTATGTAGTTCTGAAATGTGGGTCCACACTTAATGTAAACAAAGCGCTTGGCTAAATTCACCAGAAGCTCATTTACATATTTTACTCAACAAATTGGAGTATAAATGAGTAAAAAGACACCATAATTGAACTTTTCCATCCCAAACAGCTGTTACATGGACGTTATTGTTGACTTGTTTTCATTCAACACACGCAGAAGTTTGGACACATAAGTATAAGTTGTAATCACTAGGCCTGTCGCGATAAACAATAAATCAATTAATCACATGATAAATGAAGTTTATCAAACTAATTTTCATTTATCGGCTTTATTGTTTCTTCATCTCCTTCTGCTGAAGACACTGGATGATAAAAAGCGCAACGCTGGTGATCTTCACTGACTAAAATCGGTTTTAACCGTCCAAAATCGCGTTTGCTGATCTTGGGGAAAAAACCTCCGTCTTGTCAAAGCGCCAAAATTTATGGTTGAAACCCGTGCCTTTGTGTAAAAAGTTGTTTTTCTCTGCAAAAAGAAGCTGAGAACTTGTTTAATGATTTTTTAATTAAAAGCGTTGTGTGAAAAATGCTATGCTAAAGAGCTCAAACCACACCGAGCGTCCGCCATTTTGAGAACCAAAGAGAGACAGCCCATGTCACGTCAAGGGGCCTCCCTCTCATTTTCTTAAAGAAGCACGCTGCTCGCTCCCTCACTATCCATCCTTCAGTTCAGTCTTAAACTGCCATCTGTTGGTTGAAAAAAGGTACTACACACAAAACATAAAAAAAGAAAACTTAAATTTGACAATAATTACTAAATGTTGTCAAATTTCAAACAATATTATCGTTTATCGCAATAATTTCTGAGACAATTAATGGCCCAGCAATAATTGTTATCGGACAGGCCTGGTCATCCTTGTATGTTCCCATACAATGACACAATTAGTTCTCTGCATTTAACCCACCACACCTGGGATACACCCAGGTGGAGCAGTGGACAGCTATTGGGCACCTGGGGAGCATTTGGGGATTGGGTGCCTTGCTCAGAGGCACCACTTTCTGGTCTCAAGTCAGCTGCCCTACCTCTACCCCAGCTCAGTCCCCTATTATATGAAAATAAAGCAGTTCGGATGTTTCTTGACGATTTTTTATTTGAGGGACCGTTCGTTATGACACTGCAGTGAGTACCTTCAACTCTCTCAAAGGTCTGATCAGCATGAAAACAGCAGCTGGTTACTTCCTGGTGTGCTCGGGGGGTTATGTTCATAATTTATCTGTTCTTAATGTGAATCTGAATAAATCTGTTGTATAAAATCTCTTTTTAAGGTTCGTGTGACTTCCTGTTGTTTCGTAGCTCCATGCTTCCCTTTAAACAGCGTCTCTTGGCCCTTTTGTTTCTATTTTTATGTTCAAGGTCAGTGAGATGGATCGTCATGGTGACGCGCTCCCATCCCCCCAGCTTCACACCTGACTACACGTAAAAACTCACCGTGCGTTTCCACGGCCCGCCGCTAGAGGGCGCCTTTAAATCCCCTCCTCTGCTGCTCGGCGACACACTGCCTCCCTCCCTCCCTCCCCCCTGCTCTCCCACCTTCTGGACCCAAACGCCAGGAAGCCCCGGTAGGTTGTGTGCTCGGTCTGTCAGCTGAAAGACGCAGATTTCACTCCACAACCCCCCGGAGGACCGAGCGGAAGCGACCCTGCTCTGGTATGTAGATAACGGAGCCTCGTCAGGAATCTGACGGGTCTGGTTCTGATCCGGTTTCCGTTCAACCTCCTCTGGAGGCGGCAGCTGCGGTTAACCGTGTTATCATCAGGGGGAGGACGGCAGGTAAACGGTGTAAAAAAGGCTCGGAGGGGTTAAAAAAAAGATGCGGTGTTGTTGAGAAAGTGAGACGCGGCAAATCAATGCGTGCCAAGTGTAGCCTCAAAAAGGCGTGAACAGGACGACGGGTCGTAGAAAATAAAGACTGGATATTGTTGTGTTTTTACCCGGGCGAACCGTTAGACGGACCCGGGTTGTTACGTGGACACACGGGCTCGTGTCAGTCCTTCGTGGCTTCTGAGGAAACGTAGCTCCTCAGCTGAGTCAAAACCAAGTAGTCCAGTCCTCCAAGAGGCCTACCGGCTTCCGTCCAGTCTGGGTGTCCTCAGGTAGGACAAAGTGATGCTTCATCTGCTGCCTCCTCTGGACCACTTCATCTCATTAATGCAGGTTTTTTGGGTGGGGTGGGGTGGGGTATTTATTTCATTGTGTTCTTACTACACATCCCTGTGTGGACACGTGTTTTTAACACAACAGGCTTTAGTTGATTGGTTGGATGGATGAATGGATGGATGGATGTTTTATACCAGGGGTAAATTTGAGGCATCCAGTAACATGTTCTAATTATAGAGAAAAATAAAAACATGAAATACTCAAAAAAGAAGCAGAATACACAAATCTGGAAAAAGACTATATGCACATGCACAAGGTGGTAGGGGGTACTATGATGAACCTATATATAGATTAATCAAAGTACCCCCTACCACCTTGTGCATGTATATGTATACATGCATGCATATGTACATATACACATATGTAAGTGCCGCAGAGTTACAGGCTCTATTTTTACTGTAGGGGAGGAGCTGAGCAGTTTTACGTGTATTAAAGCTCTCCTACTGCTGGGAAATAATTGATGATGTGAGCCTTTCTTGGTGTAGGGTGACATCCTGTGTTTTCCACAGGAACTGTTGCACTCCAGGCCACTGCTCACAAAACTGCCATGAAATGAAACCTAGTTTCTCGAAGGAATGTGTTTTAAACTAAGATGTAGTTTTGTCCAAAGCTCGTGCGTATCGCGAGGCCTCGCTTCAAGCGTGTGTATAAGGCGACTCTCAGCCGCTGCCACACTGGTGCTCAGCATCTGTGAATTTGACTAATTTGTAGTTGTTTTTGCTGATCAGTTTGGGCAGCCATCCTGAGAGGGATCGACTCAAGAAGGTAGTCAGTTGTAGACGTGCATCCCTTGATTACTGTCTGAACCTTTCATTAAAATCAGGAGACATTTTGCAAGCACAACAAACGATTGTGCACACACACACACACACACACAGACATGAGCAGAAACATCACCCTTTCACCTTTGACGTAAGGCGATAGTAGCACCTGTGTTTATGTAACTCGGCATGCAGCACCGCTCAAAGGTCCACTAAAATACAACGGGCGAGAATTTTTTCACAAGTCAAACTCATGAATGATGCAACCCTGTGCTGATAGGAGGATTTTCTTCTGTGTGACGTCAATGTTCAGGTCACAGTTTGAACTGTAACTTCATGTTTCAGTGTCTCTATGTCAAAATGCAGTCTTCTATCTATTGCTTTTTGTCAAGGCTGTAGGAAAACTGAGATGGAAGAAGAACAGAGAAGATAAGAGAAACAAAAAGCCTCAGATTACTTGGAAACAAGGCCACCACAGATGTGTGTGCTGACAGGGGAAAGACTAAACTCTTCACCTTTCCTCCACACAAAAAGGGTGTTTTACCCCCACATTGATACTTCTGAACTGTAACAGGCGCTTACAAAAAAAAGCACTATTGAGCCGGTGTAGTGACTGCAATATGAGCCCACGGTGGAGCAGAAACGCACCATCCTGCCCAGATCTCCCTCCTCTGACTGTAGAAAGAGGTTGGGAATTAAGTTTATAATCCCACTGATGCAGGAACGAGGAAGTCAGATTTGTCCGTGACACCACAAATTTCATCCCTTGCTTCAAGCACAGGGCCAGAAATAGACTACATTTAGAAATTACTCCCACGAAGAGCAAAAATGTAGCGTTGTAAAAAAAAAAAAAAATCCTGGGTTTCAGGGTGGAGGATTACTTTTTATGAAATATTCAACAAAAATGGACACATTTAGTCATATTGATGCTAACTATAAAGGCACATTTCGACTGTGGAACTGAACAGATGGAGTTTTATTGTTGAAATGAATCTGGTCTTTGTGCTGCTGCAGCTCGGAGAACATTTCAGTATGTGCAGAGTTCAGTGCATGTGAGACAGATGGACCAGCAGCAGCCTGCACAGAGCCAACGGAGACTCTGCTGTCTCCTCAACTACAGAACTACAGAAGTCACATGGTTTGAGTGCTGACTACAAGAAAGCCCGGTCGCCTTCAGAACCACTCACTTCCTTTTATCTATTACTAAACTCCCCCGTCAATCAGTCACTAAGACCTTTACCCTGTCGGCACTTAAGACCAGAGGAGCCGCCGAGGAGCAGGGAGGTACTCCGTGTACTCTGACTGGACACACTTTGCATTCAGCTTTGCATTGAAAATAACCCGGAGTGGACTGGACCTGCACATTCTCAACAGCTTAAAGACTCATTTTATCTGTCTGCAACTCGTGCACTATTGAGCTATGACTCAAAACTGATTAGCCAACTATTCATCCTTGAATGAAATGCCTGTCTTTATGTTTCAGACTTGTTTTTGTTTTTATTTTTTAGATCAAATGATCACTACCTGACAAATTCATTCAGGTCCGTGTAGTTCAGGGGTCTGCAACCTGCGGCTCTTTAGTCCCTCTGCAGCGGCTCTTTCAAGCTTGGACCAAAACTAACTTAAAACTGAATTTTATTTATTCCTATCACAACATAAAGGGCTGGTTTTAGCAGTTTTTCTGTCATTTCTTTTGCAAATATGTGAATACTAGAACTAATACATATTCACTGTGATTTTTTTTTTTATTGAGAAAAATTAAGTATCCTGTTTTGAAAAATAAAACATAAAGTGGGAGAGCTGCATACTTCATTGTTTTAGTTTTATATTAAATGGGGGGAAACGAGTGCTTAATTTGAGCCGGAGCCTGCTGGAACAGGATCCATGAACCCTCTTACAGTATTTTTGACAGGGTTTGTTTCGGTAACTGTTTGCTTGGATCTGGTAACTCTCAGACTTACTAATAATAAAGTTATGAACAAATATGACTGCCCTGAATGAATAAAATCTATATTTGTTATGTAATCTGAAAATAATTACATAAACACTAATTTTAAACATAACAGTCACAAGCTTCCTAACATCATATCAGAGCTGCCCCTTCAAGTAAGCATTTCCACTTCTACCCTTAAAAAAAACTCTGCTCCTAAAAGTTCAGTCATGTGCAATTTAATTTAAAACACAAAAATGTAATTAAACAGCACAACTAAATTGCAAATCAGTTTTACAGTTTAAGTGGGTCATTATTTTTTGTTTAAATTGCTTATTAAAAATACGAGAGAAACGTTTGATTGATTACATCATCATCACATACGTCACGTATCAAAACAATGGTGCCAGTTTGTCAAGATAACAGCGATTAAAATGTCAAAGACGTTTAAAAAAAAAAGTATTCTCATTGTACAAACAACTGAGAATTGAAGCACATGAAGGCAGTGGTGATGGAGATAATACTTGATGTGAGTGTGTGTGTGTGTGTGTTGGGGGGGGGGGGGGGGTAAGGATTTAAAATTACACAAACAGATAAATCCAGCTTCTTCCATCTAAGATTCATTGCCAAGGTGAAGTCTTGTCTCCCGTCAAACTGAAGTCCAGAGGTGATCGGGCTTTTTACAGGTAACAGTTTACCTGATCATTTAAAGATTCTTGAGACGTTTAAATCCTTGCTCACGACTCATCTGTTTTCCCTGACGTTTGATCCGGGCAGAGTTTGAGAACCAGTTACAGATGGTTTTTCTTGTTATTGATCTTTTCTCTTGTTTTCTTGTATTTTCTTGTTAACTTTCTTGTGCTTCCTTAATGACACAAGATGTATTTTTTTTTTGTTCTTCTTATTTTAATTTAAATTTGACTAAATTGTAAAGCATTTTGATCAACTTTTGTTGTTTTTATGTGCTATATAAATATATGGACATTGACAATATCAGTAAAATGGTCAATGGACTGTATTTATACAGCTCCTTTCTATCTTATCAAGACACTCAAAGCTCTTTACAACACAATCTGTGCCTCATTTACCCATTCATACAGCACTCTACTAGATCTATACAAAGAATTATCAGAGCTTTATCACATTCATACACCGATGGGACACACATCAGAGGCAATGAAGGGTTCAGTGTCTTGCCCAGGGGCACTTTGGCATGGAGGAATCTAACCCCCAACTCTTACATTGGATGACGACTACTCTAACCACTCAGCCACAGCCTCCTCCTGTAAAACTGACGGAGTTAGAGACATTTTTTGTGTTTTTGAATGCCAGTTGGGTTGAAGGTGTTACACAGGTTCTAATGAAACTCAGAGTAATCACTGAAGGCATGTCTACGATTAACCTTTGGAGTCGTCCTGATTCTAGATGGCGGGCACCAGCCAAATGTCTTCATCTTTTCTTATCAGTAAGGCAATATTAGCTGCCTTATTGTTCGACATGTCATTATGAACAACCTGGTTTGAGCCATCACTGTGGACTTGGTCTTTAATCAGGCGCATCCTGTCGCTGCTTCGGCTGGAGGACTCGAGTTCGGTTCAAGGTTCTGCACGAGTTGCACAATCACCCATTGTTGACTCATCAGTGCTTATCAGCCCCTGTGGTCTAAACTCAAAACATGGCCTTGATATAAGTGTGTGTGGGAGAAGCGAACTAGTGTTAGTCGATGTAATAAAGATTAGGTTTAAAACTTTATTTATTTACCAATATTTGTATCGTTTTTCAGAGGTGAGTCAATTTTT